AACCTAAAAATAAGCAAAAGGTCAAAACTAAAAAGCAATAAATAACTATTATTAGTCATACGTACCTACTTATAGGTTACCCACACACTGATAGGTGAGAAGTCGGTGCCACAAGTTTTAAACAAAAGTTATTTTTTAAACCCGTAACAAATACCTTATATTACCTAAGCTGTGTACAATTTCTACAGGGATAAAAGGCGTGATATTATGTATAGTTGTAACTGGTAAAAGTGGGTGTTATGTTCAGTACCTATGTAAGTAGATAATAAATACAATAAATGTCGATCTTACTACATAGGACATCCTGTCTTGATATTTGCAGTAAGTACTATTAATTATGTCTCCGTCTAAGTACATAATGTATGTAGTATGTAGGCACGTATTGTCGGTATATGAGTAATGTGTTCAGATAAAAAATATTTTCTGTTTTGTTACTCAGTGCTTTATATATTAATTAATTCTTATAATATTGTGCCGACAACGACAAGATAGACGCTGGTAAATTGATTCTTTATTATTAAGTACCTATTAGAGCGGGTTCTGATTAAGTCTTATTATTATTCATTAGTGTAATATTGCTTGCTTGTTGGCAGAGTGATCGGAAATGCTACTGTCGGACAAGGGGTCTCGGATTCGATTCCAGGGTCGGGCAAGTATTATTGGGTTTTAAAAAATTCTCAGTAGTAGCACAGAGTCTGGAAATGTGCCCGGTATATGGCAATTGGGTCACTCCCTATTACATGGGACTCATAACATAAATAGTGAAAAGTGGGTGTCCGTAATGTGCACCTCTGCCTAGCTCTTCGGGGATAAAAGGCGTGATTTTGTGTAGGCCTGATTGTATGTAATGTAATGAAATATAACAACACGTACTTATCGAAGGAGTGGGCAGAGCAACATATCAAAAGTAATAACGTTATGAATTCCATATAATACAGGACAAGTCCTATTGATATTAAGCGTAGGTAATTATAATTTACCAATGGCTGCTTCTGGAATCTAGTACTGTTAATAAGATAAAAAACGAAATCTTCAATGTCTTCGATAACATTGTATCCATCTCAGGGATCAACTATGAACTGTTTTAATCAGCAGTTGTACTTACAATCACTGGACGAAAGGACCGATCAATTTAATTAAAAACTACGTACATGTCATGTAACTAGTGCGAACAAGTACTTAGGTACTTACGTTTATGAATGACAAAGACGATTAGGTATATTAACTTGGCATATATCACGCGTAGGGACATTGCCCTCGGATCAGAATAACACTTCACTGATAAATGTTCTGATATAAGTCAGTAGTGAAAATTTTATACTTTATTACTTGTATTATAGTTTTGAAATTGTAATATTAATTTTTTAGAAGCTCGTCGGGGATGTTTTCTAATTTTATTTATGAATATTCTACTAAATTTGAATATCTAAACGTATCTTTTATCGTAATAGGGGTTCCCATAATATCATTACTTGTAAATTAAATTTTAAATACCTTAGTAGTTAATTAAACCGAGTTCTTCACACTTGAAGAACTCGGTTGTCCCATGTTGTTGTCATTTGCGTAGTTGGTTAATGATTAATTACTATCAGATTGTTATCAGTCGCGATAGTAAACTACGAGAAACCGCCAGAAACAAGTTCCACAGTTTGACAGACCTCTTTAAAAATAGGACGACCTTTGCTATTATTTATCAATTGACTTAGTGCTAATTAAACTTTTGACTTTATCACAGCCATTAAAGTGAGACAAACTTTTGTTTTTAAAGTAAACAAAAGAAATGTTAATTTTCCAATCGTTTTGACGTAGCTAAGTAATTATCTAGGTATATCTAATTTGGAATTATACATAGGTATACGTACGTACACACGGCGACCTTAACATAACCAGTATAAACTGAACGTTAAATGTGCGGAAAGACGATGCGACGCGACACCAGGATAAACTGGTTTTGTATAGATTGATGTGTTGCCGTGTGTACATATTACAAATATACATATATTACGCTTATGGAAGTGCGTCACCCAGGCGGGAAAAGTCTTTCAAATATGGAAGTATGTAAGATACCCATTCCCAAGGATCATCATCTGACATCTTGTTACATCAGTTTGTTTGTTTGTTTAGTTTATTTGTTAGGTAATCCTTTTTTGTTGTGACTTTATAGCAACGTTCAACCATGTTTTAATAAATTAGCTAGTACTTACTTCTTGTAATGAGTTTGTGTATTTTACGCGGCATTGGACTGATGCAGGAGCATATTCTATTCAGGTAGCTAAATATAAGGCACCTCAAATTAACAACGTAAGTTAGTAATAATTTGGTACGTATGTTTATTGTTATACGTAAAACTATACCACTCAAAAGTGTTGCTTGTCATAACAGCACATAAGTGTGGGAGGGCCATGCTTCGGCACGAATGGGCTGGCCAGACCAGAGTGACACCACGGTCTCACAGAAAACCGACGTGAAACAACGCTTGCGTTGCGTCGTGCGAGTGAGGTTACCGGAGTCCCAATTACCCCTCTCCGATCTTCCCAATCCCGGAATTTCCCAATAACCTTCAAATTCCTAATCCCCAAAAGGCCGGTAACGCACTTCTCTGGTGTTTCTGGTGTCCATGGGCGGCGCCGATTGCTTACCATCAAGTGATCCGTCTGCTCGTTTACCAAATTATTCCATAAAAAAACAACCATCTGAAAATAAATAGGGTCGTAAACAACAATTTTACTACTTACAAACAAGTCAAAAGATGCGTAAGTACAAGTATATTATAATTGTCCGATATCGTATACAAAAATAATTGGTGGCGATATTTATGCAATTACTAAAGTAATAAAATTGCTGAAAAATAACAAAAACAACACGTAAAACTCGATAAGATTGTAAGTTTATTAGTTTAGTGAGATGATGCTTTCGTTTTGGACATCGTACCACCAAGCGTTGTCATAGCAACGGGTAATACGTGCCCTCGTTTAAGGATAGGCAGTGATCTGTGGAGTGCGTGATTCACGAGTGATATGCCAGTAATCGCACAATGATAACTGTGAAGAACAATGTAATGGAATTTCGTACAGACTTGTTTTCCCCTCTTTCCACTTAACTCCGATAACCGAGTCGTAATTCGAGTAATTTAATTTTAAATTCATATTCATATTATCTAAGTTCTAGTCAATGTTCATAGTTATTCACTTAATACGTACCTAGTCAATGTTCATAGCTATTCAGTAGGTAGGAACGTGTTTTGCAGAATTTCTTTGAATGAGTGTGTCGGGGAAATTGGAAATGGGACTGTATGTAGATATAGAAAGGGTTTCTTTTCCTTGATTGTAAAATAAAAACGTACACATGTATCCAGATATGTATCTATTTAATTGTTAAATTTATTTACACAGGTGCTATGTACAATACTTTCTATCTACATTGTAGAACAAATTTTAAGTAGAAAAGCAAGAGGTAGCCATTTCATAGTAAAGTTGATATTTACGTTTAAATACTTACCTAAGTACAACAGTCATAATAATAGTCATTCCATCTTCTCCCTCACATTTTTATTCAGTCTCACTAGAATTTTGTCATTATCCATTCCATTTTAAGCAAAACATATTTATCAGAGGACTTAATATTTTTACATGTTTTTTATGTGAAGTACAGGCGTCAGCACATCAAACTACACCGTCTTGTGAATACATTTTTGACTTTAATACAACTGTCTTGAGATGGAAATCGATTAAAACATTTGCCAGTTTCGGATAGCTTCACATGACGATGTGTGCACATTATTATTAATAATATTGTTGTTTACATTGCAAGTGCCTATTTAATTTTAGTAGCAAGATTTCGATGAGAAGAATGCTATAAGTACTTAATACATACAGCGTTTGTACCTTGTACCTAACTTTTAGGTACTTTTCGGTTAATCTTAACTTAAAATTAATATTTAAACTAAACAGTAAGCAAAGAACTTATGTTACAACGTGAGATACATTACAAATATGTCTATATGCGTAAGTTGCCTAATTAATTTAATTTGATCATGGAAACAGTCTCTTTCGAGTCAAAGCCTCTATAAGTTTGTTGATGATGATTAAACGCTTATTTTATAAATTTTTTTTTAAGGGGGGAAAATTATCGAATGACTCCCTCCCGGCTGGGTGAGGCGGTGTGTCAGACTCTTACTGACTAAAAACCACCCCGTTCCTTCTCCTGCACGTCGAGTCGGTTACCCGTTAGGTTCTCTGCGACTCCGAATCGGCATCGGCCGCTTATTTTATAATAGGTAGGTAACATAGGTACATTTTAGGGACAACAATTACATAATTATGAGTAAATTAGTGAATGTTTAAAAAAAATTCTTAAGTATAAATAACAAAGATTGAGGCATTTTATTGTTATTTGTAAATTAGGTAATATTCGAAATACAAATCCTGGGGCCTTTAGCCAAATGCCACTTTAGCGCTTGTCTACAGAGAGAGTAGAAATCAAAATGTACGGGGATGACACTGACAAGTGTCAAAACTTATGTCAATTCCATATAATTTGGTTTTCTATTCTACATGTAGACAACCGCTAAATGGCATTTGGCTACAGCTGCTGAAATGAAACCTGGAGGAGTTTATAAGATTCAAAACTTGTCATTAATTAATTAGTAGGTAGATACGACAATTATTTACCTACCTTTATTCGAAAATATACAATTGTTTTTGTAAAATGACAACATTATTGAAATACTTAACATAGGTACTTAGGTACAACATCTTATTGTATTGTTTATGGTATTTAAGGCTGGAATACTTATTGTTATTGTAATGTATTCGGGTTTTTTAATCAACTTATTGTTTAAATTGTATGGTTAACCTTTTTATACATTTGCATGTTTTCAGAAAAGTCTTTTTTACACTTTTTTTAAGGGAGGAAAATCCGGAGCCCCGGTGCCCCGTTAGGTTCTCCGCGGCGTTTTTTTACACTTAGGAGAAAGATTTAGTATAGGTATTAATTAACCGATTTCAAAAAAGAGGGGCTTGATGTTGGATTTTTTAAACATAGTTATTACCTATTATAATCAATTATTTTACATAGACTTGTAATCGAAGTTGGTAACCGCGTTCAATTGAAAATAGTTGAATTCATTTTGATTTGGATGTTAGTTCTATTGAGTTAGGTACCTACTGTAAAAATTTTGATCGATCCTGAGATTGTGTAGTGAGTTGCTTATTAAATCCGACTGTAGCCCGGGTTCGACAGTCAATATAATAGGGTCTTGCGTCGGACTTTTGCTTCCTGTTACTCTGTTAGGTATAAATGTTGTTGAAAAAACTAATCTAATGGCATAAGTTTTTGGTGGTTATCGTTCTTGAGTTCATCGCTAGGGGCGCTGGCAGCAAGTTTGGTCTCTGGAGTCATTGTCCGTATTTAATATCGATTGTGATATGCAACTTATCATAATATTCGATTGACAAGACCTTGCTTACCAGCGACCCTGGTGAGCACAAGTAAGATAATTTCAGTTACGTATTATTTTTTCTTAAAATGTTCAATTAATTTCTAATTCTAGCATATTACGTACCTATAACTTTAGCTATCTATTATTTAAACTAATTTAAATATCTGGTTCTGATTAACTTATAATTATGCTATTTTTTTATGTGTGCTGCCATCTCTTATCGATATTGGGTACTAGTAAGCGTTTAGTGCGATACAGTGACAGCGAAGGTTATGTTAGGTGGCGTAGCTGGTGGTAGCGTGGGCAGTGGCGGTGTGGGGTACACGCGGCATGGGGCGCCGGCTGGGGGGCCCAGCATGCCCAGCAGAAGATAGGACACCAGTGAGCCCGACAGCAAACCACCGTTGTATGACAACGTCATCATGTTTCCTGGTGATGAAATCAAAACAATATAATTACGAATATCTCAACCAGGCAAGCAGGCAGTTAAATTAAAATTCGTTGAATTGAAATTACACATCTTATCATCTTTAGATGATTAAACAATATATAGCAAAACTAATGTTAATTTATAGTATCTATTAAGATTTATCACAGAGTTCAACTTACCAGCGATCTCGCGATGCTCACGACCGACACGAGATGGCGCTAATATCATCGGTACGGAGCCAAACAGACCATTTGAAAAACCCAATGCCACGGAAAATAGTATTGGGTAGATCTGAAACGTAATATCATTAACATTAGTCTTGACATGTAGGCATCTAAAATAAAGATTAGAAACTAATAGAGATACTAGGTAAATCCATCAATTTTTAAAATTATTATGATACTAATGGAGTACATACGTCTCCTACGATATGCGGTGAATGTCTGGGGGCAGCGCACAGCAGCATCAAAGGAACAAGCAGTAGCCTCAGACCGCTCGCCATCAGCAGCTGACTGCGACTCCACTCGTACGGCCAAGCTGCTGCTATCTATGGATATATGAATATAAAAAGTTTAACTAGTAACTATTTCTTCTAATAAACAAAAATACTGTAGTACTGGCCGGTGATGGTGAAAAAAAATAGAGAACGCCTTAAAATTTTAAAAAGAAAATAATAGTTTTTTTTTACATATCTATTGGTTATCTGTTTGTTTCTTTCGACCAGTTACAAAAAGGTGAAATTGTTTGGTAGCAATCAAATATTAATTCGAATGAGTACTGGCCAATAGAGATGAAAAAAATATGGAGAACCCCTAAAAGGAAAATAAAATTTTTTTTTTGATGCCTTATTATAGCTTATTTATTTATTTTTTTTAAGGTGTAAATATTTTAGTTCATAGTTATTTATATTTTAAGTTGTATATATTTTCATTTAGTTATAGTTAATATTAATTGTGTCTCTTTGCAATATGAACGATATTTACTTTGCCGATGAAGTCGAATAGGTTGAAGGAGGACATGAGTATGATAGGCATCCAGGTGCCGAGGCGACAGGAGGGGACCTCCGACGCGATGCCAGGGTATAGACTGAGCGTCGTGAAGTACACCAGCCCGATAGACACCATGTACGGATAGATCGCACGTGCAACCGCCCAGCGAGCCAACACGCCGCCTGTAACAATAGTTTGTATATTGTAGCATTTTCATCAATAAGGATTTAGAGATTTCTCCCACCAGGCGAGATAGGGACCAAACACCGGCTCAACAAATAAAAAAAAAAACTACATGTTTTTCAAGGCGTTGTCATTATAATAACAATGAATGGATGGATATACCGATATAGTGTACAGTAGTTCTAAATCATTTTGTTAAAAATTAATTGATAGGCTCCTAGACAATTAATTCACTTTCCGGGTTTATTACAGGGTTTTTGCAGTTGATCGAAGCAATTAGATGAAAACAGAAGGCAAGGAGGATCTTGCCTTAAATGTAGAATTCTATGAAAAACGGTTAGATATTCTAAGCAGTCTTATGTGATAAACTTACGTTTGAACGCTCTCCATGAAGTGGGTCTTTCGGGAGCCTCGAAGACGACGTCTTCAACTTTGTAGGAAGGCCGAGGGGTGCGCAGAGCTGACGAGGTCTCAGAAGCCACGCCGTCTCCAAACGGCTCTACAGCGCCCTCTGGCTGAACGGGCGCTCCAGCAGTCGGCGAGTAAACGGGGTTGGCGAAACTAAACGCATTTGTTTCGATTTCGCCTGAAAATGGTCAATAAATGGTTCACTAACTTCCAGATGGCTCAGTTCGAGGCGACCTGCATCTAATAGTTCAACATTGTATTATTTTACTTTTAAAAAGTCAATTCTTCAATATTTTACCTTGTCCAGTTGTTGACAATACAGGGCTTTGAAGTTTCAATACTCCATAACTTGCTTCTCCAGCCTCACTTTCCATCTGAAATTACACTAGGTATAACATTTTGCATTTTAGACCATTATCACATAATCTGTATAATTAGAATACATTTAATACCCGCTTGACTTAATAAACCAGTTGATTTTAAATAATCTTTACCAAAGTAGCGTCTTCATTAGGGTTCAAATGAAGTTGAATGCGTCTCCTATGTCTCGACTCGTTGGTCAGTCGCAGATAATGTTGCACGAGAGGGTGACGCATCATCACATGATGCAGCATAGAATGTCCCAGCAGAATGAGTATGGAGAACACGAAGAACATGAATGTGCTTCTTTGTGGCTGACGAAAACCGTATTTGGTGACAATCCGGTCCACCGATACCCAAAAGCCGGCGGCACCTAGAAGATCGATGTAAACACTGAGACAGATTGCTGTGCCATGTAAAGTAAATTGTTAAATTATAAACCGGGTTTATTCTCTAAGAAAAAAAAACATAAGTGAGACTTGCTGAGTAAAAAAACGAAGACGAAGGCAATTGAGCTTACTTTCGCCTGCCATAACAGCCTGAGTGTATCTGGGTGGCAGGCATCCCGTAAACCCGTAGTACGAGGCCTGCTGCACGGTGCAACCAAACGCCACCACTCCGATGGCGACCAGGTTGATGGTGTAGGAGACGCGCGTTGAAAACCCGTCCCAACCGATGTTGCATACCGCCACAAACAACATTGTTGCTAGGGATACTAGGATACCTGTAAGTTTACAGTGATGCAAGATTTGAAAGAGGCCACTTTTCCAAATGCCGTGAATGTACTGCCAAAAATAACACCACCCGAAATTTAGTTTATACTACAGAGCATTTGTATTTATAAGGTTGAGAATCGAGATACTGACAAGTTACTTGAAAAATTAGAGTTAAGGTAGACTAAGGATTAAGTAGTTACTGGCAGTGGAAATTTAATATTTTGTTAATGTGTCATTAGTATTTCTTGTCAGTGTACCGAAAGTGATCCTAGTATTGTAGGTGAACAGGTCGAGCAGGAGGTTGTTGAGACAGACGGCGACGCAGGCGGACGCTATGTACACAGTGGACATATCGAACATTATCGTCGTGTTAGGGTAGTGCATCTGGAAGTAGTCGACGGCCATGATGAAACTGAAACATTAGAGAGAAACATCTGTATGGTCACCAATTATCATATTAACGTGTTTAAATTCGTAAACAAGAACACTATTATTAAAAGGAATATTTAACTAAGTTAGATAATGTAGGTATACTATGTAGTTAGTTCAGACGAGTCTATGTTACGCGGAAACTTTTCAATAGCGATAGTAATTTACATCGAAGGTAAAGCTTATGTTTGAATATTTATGATGGTAAATTAATATTCAAACTTGACAGGGGGCTGATATCGCAAACCCAAGCTATTTATAAACCACCGCGTACAGCGAATTCTGAGAAAAGGCTGCGAAGAAAATTTAAAGGTCAAAGGGCTAATGAAGTCACGTTTATGAAAGATAAGTACCTACACATGGCGCTAATCTATTGTTTCTGAGAAGAATCTGATAATGTAGAGTCTTGTTACGAAACAAGTGTACGCATTAACATAAATATTGTCCCTATACCAAGACATGCATACATTCAATTCAATTTGCGCCGAGTTTAATTATCCTTATAGTCATGTGTTTAATTACCCACACAATTACATTTTCAGTAGTCAAATTATTAAACAATTGATGCTTGTTACCTGTTAAAGGGGAGTAAGAAGGCAGCTCCAGCAACAAAGAGAGTCAGGTACACGGAGTTGTACCGGTCCGGCGGCGGTGCCCCCGGGTCCGGCATCGAGGACAGGGGCTCACCCCTAGCCGCACGGATCGCCTCAATACGGGCGTACCCGCGACCTAAAGTCTCATTCATTTTGCCAATACTACGCCTAATATCTACATCGTTTATTTACCAATTTTAATTATTTACAACTGTTTTACGCAAAAATATCACTTAGCACTGTAACAGCTATATACAACAACAAGATTACTTAACATGTTCGCTTATTTTCTATTAGAATGTATTTATTTAAAATTTTCACCAAGAAATCAATTACGACACCTACTCATGTTGTTAACACTTTTCTTTACGCGTTCATTTAACTAGAGATGACATTAAACTTATTGGTTCTGTTTGTTTTTGTCTTAGTTAAAGTGTCCGTTTGTTTTGAATGGATTTGTGTTCAGTATATTTAATATTCACTGTATAATAAACAATGTAGGTACATCGCCGGTGCTCTTGACAGTCGTGGAAGAAAATGTGTAACGCATGCGCGGTACACATTGATTTTCAGTGAGGAGACTAAACTTGTCGCTCGTAGCACTGAAGCGAGGTATCGCAATTTTAGTTTTATTTGTAATAGGCGAGTAAAGGTAACACAGAAGGGAACCTACTAATCAACATGTAGGTATATACGATGACAGTTACAGCTATCGAAGGTAACATTATGGTGTGCCTATAAACTGCCTTAATTATTTTTTGAATGAATAATTTTATTAGTAATGTATCGTAATTTTTATTCGGATTTTCACCCTTGTTCAGTTTTTTTTGTATAGAATTGGAGGCAAAAGAGCAGCGGATCACCTGATGGTAAGCGATCAGCGCCGCCAATCATACCTGCATTAGTGTGAATTAATAACTAATAACAGCTACTTACCTGATTTGAAAGTACTGGAAAAATTAAAAAATAGATGCCTACTTAATACCTTCCTACCTAAGCTCTTACCTATTGCAAAAAAGTAAAAATCCGAGTACTTACGTGCCCACTTAACCATATAAACCTTATTTCACAATAACTCTTGTTCTGTCGTCAATAAAACAAGTTATTTAAGTGTTAACGACCTTTAATAATAATTATTGAAGTCGTCCCTACGTTTATGTTAAGTAAATCATTTTTTATCCGACCGCCGTAGTGAGTCACTGCTCAGGTAATTTTATACTAATGAAGGGTTATTTATAACCACAAGAAAAGTTATAAGTTATTTCGACTTTCAAATACTATTCTGAAAGGTTTGGCAGACAGTGAAAGGCCATCGTTGGGCTCTAGGGATGGCACAGAGTCGCCATCTGGTATCTTCAAATAGAACCTTTGCAGGATATGCGTGATAAACATGAAAAGTTCGGACCGCGCCAGCCCTTCGCCTATACAACGTCTTCTTCCTAAAAAAATTAAAAAGCATTATAAATGAACAAAAACATCAATCATTCTAATTTCAAAAAGGAGTCGGATAAAATGTATGTAGGAAATACTATTGTAATGTAATATCATTTTAAATTTAGAATACCAGTTTCTTTTAATTTGGTAGGCATGTTGAAACATGAAGCCTCCATTTAGATCAATTAACTAAACTCGTTTCCTTTTCATTTAATTCGTTTATAATAAAAGTGTTTTATATAATCTTATTAGACCGAACTCCTAAGTTTCCTATCTATTGGGGTTCTCGTATAAACATTTCTATGGTGAGAACCACAACTATTGTTTTGGAAGAGCAGTTTAGTTTTTTGAACGTGATATTAAAACAACAACATAACAAGATGAGCATGGAAAATAAAGGTTGGGTAGATAAGAAGAAAACATTATAAAAAGGTGAGATATGAAGTAAAATCAAACTGACCTGTTCCAAACGGCATCAGTGACTCATCTTGTATTAAATTCCCGTCTTTAGTGATGAACCGCTCTGGCCGAAACTCATCAGGGTCTTTCCAGTGAGGACTGTTGTGAAGATCGAACATTGATAGGAGTACAAATGTGCCCTGGAAAATAATATCAATAAACTACTAACTTCTTTTGATGAGTGGGGATTATTTATACGTAAGAATTAATTAGTTGTTTAATTACCTGCGTTGGAATTTTATTGATAGTGGTTTTTTTTTTCGTGGAAATCATAGACCATTTTCATAGTTTTTTTCCAAATGGATTTAAAATATTACCGTTTATGTGGTTCATCCCCTAAATATTGGTTTAATAATTGCATACTACTTATGTCTAATCTTAGCCTTAGCTCAGTTTCTCAGCTCATTATAAAAACTATTCTTGCATAGAGATAATTGGCACAAAGAAAACTATTATTCCGATGGACTTGCTGATACTTATCTTCATTATAAATCAGTGTATAAGGCCCTTATAATTAAACTTTATTACGTCTAGTAATTGCTTTACCTTGGGTATAATATAATCGCCAAGTCTTGCGTCGTCTAGTGCCATGTGCGGTATGCCCATAGCTGCTACGCTTGATATCCGCAATGACTCCAAAAGCACTGCCTCGGTGTACACCATACTAAATAGGCAGTTACAAAGTTATCATAAGAAATACAAAAAATCTCCGAAAGATCAACATTAACGTTTTCCAACATATGAGGAGGAAAGGAGAGTAAGATTTGGCGTTGATATTTAAAGCCATTATTCAGTTGAATATACGAAGACATTCAAAAATGAAAAGGAAAGGTGTTTCATGTTGTCCATTTTTGTATATAAATGATCTTTCCTACATTATTCAAACTTTCATTATTAATTTCTATCGAAAAAATATTGTCAGGAACGGTATCATGTAATAAACCAATAAACCTTGTTCGGTCACTAAGCGCAGGAGGTCGTAGAGGACCGATGACATCATCGATTTCATGGTGTAATTTTCTCTGCACATCATAATTGCAGACAATGTGGAGGAGCATGAACACAGCTGTGTTGGACACAGTCTCCATACCAGCCTCCAACAAGTCCAGGCAGACCACTTGTAGTTCCTCATCTGTAACTATACGATACGTTTAGTTAATTTCCGCGACAATCTTTCAGCTTATGATAATGATAATGACACTTTAAATGACCAAGATATAATAATAAAAGTTTCCTTATTGGTTTTTCTCAATTAGGTACAGCACCACTTAGCATACCGTGGTTTTTCTGTAATAGGCCATAGGAAGGACAAAAGATTATCAGCAGTGAAGATCAATGATTTTATCCATTCAAAGATTCATAATTCATTTGTTAACTCGTTAAATAATAACTACTATTAAATAACAACAATTAATTAAACAAATTATGGTGTTCATTTCATTTCAAGTCAGTACCTAATTAACGTCAATACGATATTCGAGTAGCTGGAGATGAAGATAAAAACATTATGTTTGTCATTCAACAAGTTTTTTGCGTCAACGGAGAATATATTATCTACTATTTTAAGATAATGGCAGCCATTACTTCATTATTAGTTCAGTTGTAAGTAAATACGTACAGAATTGATCTTTACATTCCATTTTCTCGATGAGAAAGGCGTCTATGACGTCCCGGGGGTTGTTGACGTCGATGCTTTGTTGGTGTTCTTGTATGGTTTCCTGTTGATTACGTAAACGCATAATATTGCATTGATTATACCCGTTCCAACTATAGGAAGTGTGCGCGACCTCGGATAAGTAATAGTAATAATAGTTTAATAATGCAATGCATTCTTTGACTATTTTTTCTTCTATATTAAACATAGGCTTGACTAAACGCTGGCTAATGTGGCACATTTTTATCAGACGGAAGTTCAATGTAATATAATTTCGACCTCATTCATTGTATGAAAAGTAAACAAAGGGTAACTTAATAAGAATTCTGTTGTTGAATGATTACAATGATTTGCAAGGAAACCATGTGTCTGTACCTATTTTTTTTGTTCATGGAATCATCACACGCGATGTAGACACGTGTTTGCTCGGTCGATACATGAACCGAGCCTGTTTTTCAAAGTGGTTTTATGATAACTATGTACTGACATTTTTTGGCATAAGTATTAAAATACTTCTATGTTAGGGGGGCGGGAGTTCATTAATTAAGTAACTGTTACCAACTACAACAACTCCCAGTAAGTCTACAAACTACTTATCTTATAGGGTTCTGACGTTACAATAATACCCGCAGGTATCATCTCTGCTTGTCAATTATGTATAAGTATGTACTTAATTTTTATATGTAGGTATGTACGTTCGCACAATTGGAACAAACAAAAAAATAAAGCTGTCAATATTATCCAGAGTTTCTTACGCAAAACATAAGGCCCTGAACTGAATAACAGCTTATCTTATTTGCTGACATATTTTGTTATTGTGAACTTGACCTCGTCAGTGCGTAATTTTTACTTATTTTTACATCTACTTACCCTCAGAAAGTCGTGAAGAGCCTGGTGGATGGATGTCAGTTCTGTATACCCTGACAGACCTGGTAGAACATGCCTCATGAATGGCATAAAGTTCAGAATGCCACCGCTCATGTCCACAGCCCGAAACAACCTCATTATCAAGTCGCATAATGTTTTAAGCTTTTTGTCTTCTAAATCGTATCTGGAATTCATAAATTAATAAATTAACAAGTTATTTCCATAAATATCTAGATAAAAATTAAGACTCATTTGAACACCACCGGAGTTATTGAATTTTATTGTGCAATCCGAAAGAGTTTTTGTTTATTCCGAAATACATTTAATTTACACATGGAAATACTGTTTTAGAAACAGTATCTATAAAATGATGTGACAGAAATATGTGATTTACTTAAAACATATTAAATGACGTGTCATGTATCCGGATAGTTATTGTCTAAATAGCTTATTTATACAAATATGTCAATAAAAATAAATATTTATTATTGATTTATAAATTATATTGTGACCTTTTCCCAGCGACGAGTCTCCACAATATGTTCACGATAGTGATATTGAACATGCTGTTCACTAGTATCGGTTGCCCGGCGTCGTTCATCCTTAGCTTAACGAGTGCTCTACACTCCTCGCCAATATAATTCTCCATGAAACGCGAGTTATATCCAAAGCTTTTCAAATATTTTAGTACTATGCGCCTTGTCTTGGACCAAGACAAACCGTCGTTGAAGACTATTCCTAAAATTGACAAAAAATTAACTGTAGTTGTTGAACGAAATGCTAACTTGTCTAATGTTTCAAGTAATCTGTACTAATATTATAAAGAGGAAAGATTTGGACCTATTTTTGTATGTTTGTATGTTTGTAATGAATAGGCTCAAAATGTATTGGGCCGATTTAAAAAATTCTTTTACCTATAGAATGTTACATTCTTCCAATTTTACGTAGTAGCTAAGTAAATAGTTGTTACTTTTGCTCTTCTTTTGTGTATTTAATAAATCGCTATATTCAGCTGTCTTCTTTATTACCGAAATTGGTTTAAGATGTAATAAGTTACTTATTAATTTAAATGTAACTGCTAACTACCAGATGTAATATTGTAGGTCTACATTTGTCATATTGTAATATACCTAAGTTTGTATAAAAAATAAATAATTAACACTTACCGAGCTTTTTACCGAACGATCTCATCAAAAAGAAGAATCCATCGGGTCGACCATCAAACACTTCACGTGTGGACACTTCTTTGATCAACTCCTTC